AGCTTTATGTATTTTCTGTGGCGAGGAAGAAGAGGAAGCCGATGGACGCCGTTAACAGCGACGTCTTTTCTTTTTACCTATTTTCCTTTTTTTCAGTTTTATTTCTCTTTATTATTAATCCTACATGGCACAATGATTGGTCCTAAGAGTTGAGGTGAATTATAAAATTCACCACAGGGGGTGAACCCAAGTTTTGTTCATAAAAAAACGAATAACATTTTCATTTTTAACAAAAATAGTATTTAATGGATATTAAGATTCAATCATACATAGTAGTTAGTTCGCTACTAAATCAAAACTATTTGGTGCGGAAAACAGTTTGTTCTTTTTTTCATTCCTACTTTTTGCACCAATCCGCACAAAAACTTATGTGATAAAATGGTATACTCTACAAACTGGGATTAATACGTAGGAGAAATAGTATATAAACATGTAGTAATTGTTTTTCTTACTCAATGTAGCTGCGTTAGGCTTGAAGACAAAAACCACCGAGAATACACAAAAAGATACATAATCGTATATTATTAATATTTATATTTTTTTGACGATGGAAGTTTTTAAATAACTACGTCAAATATCTCATTCAAGTTGTCGTGTTCTCTCATGATTCCTCTTCTTCAAGATGATGAGACATGAGTTTTTGAGATAGAAGGAAGAGCTTTTAGGATCCCCTTGGTGTCTAACTCATTCAAGTCACCTCTTAACGCAATAACCCATCAGAAGGTTCGGCTTCAGATCTCTGTTCTTAGCCGATTCATTTAGTTTGTTTTCTCCATAGTGAAAGTGAGAGAGAGAGAGTGAAAAGTCAGAGATTTCACGGCGTCGTTTATGAATCAAACCCATCCACTTTGACTTTACTCTGTTCCATTTATGATCTTGTTATTACTTTATATGTTTTGGTTTTATATTATTGGTTGTTTTGATTATTTGTTTTTCATTTTTTTTCTCTTGATCGATTGTATAAACTTGATGAAGTACTTCAACATGTTTTCTGTGGGTTGCTTGGAACTGAAGCTGGTAATGATCCGAATATTGCTGAGAATTTTATTGTATTACAGAAGTTTCAATTTACCTCGACTTGTAGATTATGTGCGTTTGACTTCATGATTTTTAGCTCTCTTCTTTTGCTTTTGGTTTCACTTTCCTCTATAGTTGCGTACAAGAATTTAACTGTTAGTCTTGTTAAGTTGGTCCACCATTAGTGACATTCTCAATAAGTGCATACTTGACTTCTGAAGCGTTTTCTTTCTTTCTTTCTTTCTTCTTTCTTTCTGCTTAACACATGATCTTATCTATTAACACCCTCCAAACACTATTGAGGATAAGGTTCCTTAGCAAAGTTCAAAGTTAGCAGGAGGATGAGGATGAGGAATTAGGTGATAGAATAGTTACTTAAAGCTTATAACATTATATTCTTTTAGTTGTCATTAAAACATATATTGCACCTGTGATCTTTAGGGAATCTTCATGGCCTCTCAGATTTCTTTCTTTGTATAAAATCTCTTGCAACATGAAAAGGTGGTTTTCTTTATAGGAATCGAAACTTTATGCATCACAAGTTTCACTATTTTCTTTTACTATTTAGAGGTGGTTTAAGACCTAATGCTTTTATCTTCCCTGATTGGTTCTTTTTAGAATTCATTATTTGCTTGGCTTACATATATAAATATATGGTTTCACACATTGTATTTAAACCTTTGTATTTTTCTTCTTCTTGAATTTGCAGTTTGAGGGAAGCATGAATTCAACATCAACGCATTTCGTGCCACAGAGAAGAGTTGGTGTGTACGAGCCTCTCCATCAATTTGGTATGTGGGGAGAAACATTCAAGAGCAATATTGACAATGGGGAAAATATGAACACTCCAAGCCACTTTATTATACCAAATAATCAAAAACCAGACACCAACTTGGTATATTATTTCCTTACATTTTCTTTTAATCTCTTAACTACAAAATTTTTTATTTTCAGAAATTTTAAAAGCCTTATCACTATTTTTATAGTCAGAGGATACTTCACATGGAACAGGAGGAACTCCATACATGTTTGATCAAGAAGTTTCCACGTCTCGACATCCTGATAAGGTAATTTGACTAATGACTATTGATGCTATCAGTTTTATTTTCCATGCATTATGTAGACTAAGTCTTAGTATCGTTATAGATACAAAGAAGGCTTGCGCAAAACCGCGAGGCTGCTAAGAAAAGTCGCTTGCGCAAGAAGGTATGAAAACCTTATTACATTATTTACTCCTTAAGAACCTAATCTTTTTGTCTTTTTATTTTTGTGTGCAGGCTTATGTTCAGCAGCTAGAAACAAGTAGGTTAAGACTAATTCATTTAGAGCAAGAACTCGACCGTGCTAGACAACAGGTTAATTACAAAGCAAAATCTATATTCAGTTTCTTTCCATTTCAAAAACATATCGCAAATACTCATAGAAAATTGGATAATCTCAGGGTTTCTACGTGGGGAATGGCATGGATACTAACTCTCTCGGTTTCTCGGAACCCATGAATCCAGGTTTGTAACAAGAACACAGTGTTGTAGTCTTTTTCTTGTGTGACAAGAAACAAAACTTGAACATCAAAGAATCATACAGGGATTGCTGCATTTGAGATGGAGTATGAACACTGGATTCAAGAACAGAACAAACAGATATGCCAGCTAAGGACAGTTTTGCAAGGACAAGTCAGCGATGTTGAGCTCCGTTTGCTAGTTGAAAACGCCATGAAACATTACTTTGAACTTTTCCGGATGAAGTCAGCAGCTGCAAAAGCAGATGTGTTCTTCATCATGTCAGGGATGTGGAGAACTTCTGCAGAACGGTTTTTCCTGTGGATTGGCGGGTTTCGACCCTCGGATCTTCTCAAGGTAAAACACATGGAAACAAATATAGGTTTCCAACTTAAAACCAATTGGATATAAATGAACTGACCGAAGTCTTTTATATATTATTCATGTATTATCAAAACTGCCGGATATGTGAATTTATATTCTCACAGATCTACTACAAAATGTTCTTGAATCTAATATAAAGATTTTCTTGATTATTGCAGGTTCTTATGCCACATTTTGATGTAATGACGGATCAACAGATATTAGATGTATGCAATCTAAGACAATCATGTCAACAAGCTGAAGATGCTTTGTCTCAAGGTATGGAGAAGCTACAACACACGCTTGCGGATTGTGTTGCTGGTGGAAGACTAGGTGAAGGAAGTTATATTCCTCAGGTGAATTCTGCTATGGAGAGATTAGAAGCTTTGGTCAGTTTTGTAAATCAGGTAAATATCATAGTAGAAAATCTTGTTGGTTTTAAGACAGTTAGTATCAGTTTGTTGATTTGTTTGTGTATTGGTTCTTAGGCTGATCACTTGAGGCATGAGACATTGCAACAAATGCATAGGATCTTGACCACAAGACAAGCGGCTAGAGGGTTATTGGCTCTTGGTGAGTATTTTCAACGGCTTAGAGCCTTGAGTTCGAGTTGGGAAACTACACACCGTGAAACAATTCAACAAAGAAAAGACCAACAAGAAGAATCAAGAAAGAAGATGTGTGCATCTTGAAAACAGAGGATCACTCAGAACAAATGGGGGTTGCTGCCTGTAATTAATTTTTATTCTGCGGTGCAATTAGAGAAATTGAGAAATATATTGATAAAGTTGTAAATATCAGAAGGAGCAGAGTGCAAAGATTTTTACTTTGTAGCTTTCATATAGAAGTTTTTCGGATGTTAATTTGAATATATAGAACTTGATTCATAATAGATAATATTAGACAAGTGTGTGTGTGTTCGAGTTTTTAATTATCTTTTCTTTTTTAGAATTATTAATTATCATCTTGAGTATTTTGAAAATATAGAACATTCAAACAAATTATAAAAACAATATAAAATAATTTTACAACCAATTGAATCTATTTTTCTTATTAAAAAAATCATGTACAATATTTTTGTTCACACCACATAAAATTATATTTGTATTATACTAAACATATTTATATTATATTCAATTTTTCTTATAAATTGCTTCATTAACCAATAATAATCGTATTATTTGAGATTAGAGACACAAACTTTATATTTAATCAAACAACTGGATTAAGAGGATTTTAAAAACTTTTGTTAACTTAAACCTATAAGTAAAAAAATAAAAATAATTATATATATATATAAATGGAACGAATTGTAACATTTCTACTATTAGGAACATTTCGTAATTAAAGGTAAATACAGGGGCAAACGGAGAGATATAAAAGAAGCTTCGTTATCCTCTCAAACTCATCTTCTTCTTCCGACATAGCTAGCCCACAATGTTCAGCCTCTCTATCTCCTCACCAGGGACAGCAGTGACTTTCCCTAGAGGAAGAACTGGTTCGGCGACTTCAACCTCTTCTTCGTTCCATGGCGTCAGAATCCAACACCAGGTCTCTGCTCGCGTGCCCATTTCTTCATCGTCTGGTAAAGCAAATGTGGTGGTGAAGATGTCGAAAAGAGACGTGGAGTTGAAAGATATAAGAGCGAAGACGACGGAGGAGCTTAACGAGGAGGTTATTGATCTTAAAGGAGAGCTGTTTATGCTCCGTCTCCAGAAATCTGTTAGGAACCATACAGGTGGGTAATGTGACAAATAAGAACAAAAAATATGGGGCGAGAGAGGCTCGAACTCTCGACCTCAGGATCACTCAGTAGCTATGAGACCTACGCGCTAGCCAACTGCGCCACCGCCCCTTTGTTGTTTCTATCTATTTCCCTTCATCCAAATTGTCCTCCCAAGCTATTCTTATAAGTTAAAACTTGGGTGTTCTTCAACAACAGTGAATGTAGTTTGTCTGAGAATCACAAAAAAAACTCTCTTTATTAGAGGGAGAACATGAATCCACAAACACACCAACAATAATACAGCAATGAAAACACAGTGACATCCATTTTTTAATCTTCTCCCGGCTCTTTGCTTCAAGACTCCAGTGACAATTTGTCCACACAAAAAACCTTTCACACTTTCATTCCCCGAAGAGTATATGTTCGGATGTTGAAGGTTCCTCTTCTTTATTGTCTTTCCCTTCATCATTCACTTGCTTGCTTGCTACTAGTGCTCTCAAACAGCTTCCCCTTCTTGGCAATTGTAAGGATAAGCTCAAGTTGCTTTCTCTGTTGATCCTATAAAGCAATTAACCACAGCTTTCATAAGCCCAAAAGAAACTAGTTTGGTCTTCTTCAGTTCAGGCATGGCATAATCTTAAACTTGACTTAATAGGGAAACAAAAACTAACAAAACCGAATAATAATAATAGATATCTACCTGCATAGCAAGCAGAACCTTTTGAATCTCACCAAGCTCCTTCTCCAGAGTCTCTTGTTGTGCAGCTAACACTCTTGTAGCCTCAGAATTCTTCTGAGCCAAAGCTGCAGTCTTTACACACACAAAAAAAAAACAGACCAAAAACTCTTGAGAGATAACATACAAACACCAAAAGAACTAAACTTGACGTAAAGACAAGCTACACTGATCACTCAGGACACTAGAATAATCTTTAAATATCCTATTCTTCTCTGCAAAGATTTCATATTCAAGTGAAGCAAAAAAGCATAATAGGAGTTTTACCTCAGAAATGGGTTCCTTGAGAGCTTTTCTGGTGACTCGAAATCGGATCCCAAGTTTCTCAAGATGTCTAGACAGAACTCTAACAATGTTGGTCGAGGTTTTTAAATCCTCTTCAAGCTTCTCTAACCGTCTAATCAGATTTGGATTCTCGCCTTCTCTAGTTCCTTTGCAAATCCTCATCCATTGCTGTCGTCTGAGCCAAGAACCAGACACGACCGAACCCAATAATCCGACAAAACCCAAAGACAAAACCTTTCTCCCAATTTCACCAACCACAGCATAGTTCACCGCGAGAACCACCGAGATCACGGCGGAGGATACAATACAAAGCACCTCCGCGACAGAAACAAAGCTGTTCAAATCGAAACCTTCTTGGTCTGAAGAAGAGGAGTTGCTGTCTTCGTATGATCCGAGAGATGAAGCATGAGCTCTACAGACCCGCACGGTCTCCGAATTGGTGACGTGGCGGAGGTAAATAGGTTGAGGGAACAGTTTCGTGTTCCGGTGAGAGGTCCGTACAGCGAAGCAGAGGTTGTTGCTTCTGCTGATGCGGACAGGATTCGAGCCAGGTGAGAAAGCGTATCGACAAGGAAGCGATAAGGACATTATCGTCTTCTCGGATCTCCAACAACAAGTGACTCACTTGTCACTTGTAAGAAAAATGGCTACGACTCAAATGTAAGCGAGTTCTTTAAAACTGCGTCGTATAGACTTTAGAAATGGAGTTCTCCCATTGTCTCAATGGAGTAGACACTTTCACACAATTTCAGAATAATGTTAAACCCAACCGCATAATGTAACACATAACAAAAGTGTATTCATCATATGAATCACATCATCATCGAAAAGTTTTAAGCGCAAAGTTCTAAAAACAAAAGAGAGTGAGAAGTCACAGAAGCTGAAACAATGCATGAATTATATAAGCCATAAAGGTTTTATTGGTATGGCATGTAACGCATTGGCCTTCTGAACCTAGGAACTTTCCTGCATAAATATTAAAAAAAAAACAACAGAAAATTAAGACTGAGAAGAGAACTGTGACATAATAATAGAGAGTAAGTATGTCTTGGTGTTAAAACGAACTAACCCATATCCATATGGGGAATACATATAGGGAGACATGAAAGGTCTGCGGAAGCCCATGTAGGGGTTGAATCTTCTGCCACGGAACTGTTTCATTCCAGGAACGTTTGTTCTCTTTTGCATCACCTACAAATTTTCAGACAAATAGAATCGTTGGTAAAAGTGTTTTTGCGGTCTCGTGATTATAGTAAGAAGAAAAGGTTTGTTTTACCTTTAGTTGACGACCATGTAACTCTGATTCATTCAGTTGCAGAGCCTCTTGTATAGCTTCAGCTTCCACAAACTCGACATAAGCAAATCCCTTTGGCTGACCGAACTTGTCTGTCAGAATTGTCACGCGATGGACTGTTCCGCATGATTGGAAGTGTTGCTGTACTTCTTCAGGTGTACAAGCGTAATCAACCTGCACAGTCAAGATATGCGATTATAGTATAAAACAAACAAGAAAGCAAAACTACGAGACAGCAATCCATTAAATTAACAGTTCAGCGACACAAAGATCACTAAGCAAAGACATTCCTGTTTGATCATCCTACAAATGAACAAGGACATCAAGCAAAGTAGAGTGGAAATCTACCCTACTTGAGCAGCAATTAAGACAAAAAGAGCCCTTACGCTGTGTGCCAAGCACATAGTTTATGACAATCTTTACATTTTGTTAGCACCAAAGAGCAGCCTCTCAACCAAATCTCTGCAGATAGCAGATATGCATCTTGACAGGCAAAGATCTTGGTTCAGCTCTTCAAGGGATATCTCCTTGAGGATGGATTGCAAAAATACACCACTCAACTATTTTTCCCTCTCCACATTTTCCTTTCTAAGACATGACTATTTTTTTTCCTTTTTCATTTTTTTTTTGCTCTAAGACGTTTTTTTTCTTTTGCATCTTTTTCATTTTTTTTTGCTCTAAAACGTTTTTTTTTTCTTTTGCATTCTTTTTGATTTTTTTTTTAATCATGTTCAACAAGAGAACAGAGCAGATTTTTTTTTTTTTTAAACTTAGAAAAGAATAAAACGTGGAGACCCCACTAGAGCTAATAAGAACTTCTGATATGAGAATAATCCTGCGAGTGTAGTGAGAAGAGTCATAACTCAGCAGAAAATAAAGAGAAAACAGCTTCATGTTCTTTAAAACCCCTCAGTCACTAACACCAAAACTCCCTTCAAGAAACTACATTTAATGATATATCCTACACTCTCATCACCAAGTCCTAACATTCATAATGTAGCAGATATGCATCAGATTATGAACTCACAAGTGAACTATAAACACTTCTAACCTCCAAGATTAAACGCTTTTTTAAACAGTTATCTACGCACAATTCATAAGCCTAGCTTAATGCACACTAAGTCAGTATAAGAGGTACAAACTATCAAATCAACCAGAAGCTAAAGCTGAACAGAAAAACATAAGCAAATTCTTACATTGCCAACAAAAACAGATCTAGCATCAACCTCCTCCTTGCCTGCTTGATCTGCTCCTCCTCCTATAGCACCAGAATCTGCAATACAAATTGAATTAAACAGTTGAATTTACAAAAGAACTTAATCCAAAGATGATAATAATATCACCTTGAGGACCCATCATATCCTTCTCAACTTTGGCTTGCATCTCACGAAGAGCAGCAGCTTCATCCTCAATCTCTTTCAACCGTTTCTTCATCTCATCCAATTCCTATTATATTTGTTCACATCAATACCAAATCTAATTCAATCAAATCAAAATCAAATCTAATCAAATCAATCAATTAGACCTTAGCGGCGGCGGCGTCATCATCAGCGGCAGCCATCATGTCCATGTCTCCATCCATCTCTCCGACGTCGGGAATCTCTCCACCGTATACCTCGTGCTCCTCTTCCTCCATCGCCCTCTCTCTCTCTCTCTCTCTCTCTCTTAGGGCACACTTTTGATTTGGATAGTGTGACACGTAATCATCGTTTCCGGGCCTTTTATCATTCCTTAATGGGCTTAGAGGCCCAATTTTAATCTTTATTATTTTGAAATTCAAAACATCAGAATCTAATTAAAACACGTGGCCAATAGATAACCCCCTCTGTCGAGAGGTGAATGCGCTGCAACGGTAATATTTCTTCTTCTTCTTCTTCTTTTTACTGGTTTATTCATGACTTGACTCCGCCCCAAAAGAACAACGGTAATATTTATTTCTTCTTTTTAACAAAAAAAAATTAAACACCAACGGTAATATTTCGAATTCTACCCAATTTCATCTATATATAGCAGTAGTCTCTTGTCTCTCTCTCTCGGACAACTTTTCCTTCCATCTCTTGTTCTGTCTCTCTCCGTTTCTGTCGTTGTTGTGTCTGAAACAACGATGGTGTTTTCAGATAATTTTTCTCCACATATAGTTTAAGAAAGATGTCGCTCATGTCGCAAGAAGTATTGATGATCAGTGTCACCGAAGCAATACGGCGATGCGAAGGTTCCCCTCTCACCCCTCGGCTCATTACCAAATGAGATCAGAGTCTAAATCCCTTCTTAATCACTTGAAGGGTACGTACGATCAGGTATAGTTTTCTAACTGATCATTCATAATATAAAAAATTATTCTATTTCTTTTTTTTTTCTTTTAAAATTTTAAGGAGAATTTTGATATTGTTGATTGATTATATGAAAACTTTGAGTTGAGATTACATGATGTGAAGCTTTTCAAACATGAGGTTGTCCGCCAATATTACTATTGATCGTTAGTGATACTCTGTTTGTTTATTCGAGCATGATGTCCGACAATATTAATATTGATGATAAGTGATACTCTGTTTGTTTTGTCTTTACGTTTGTATTTCACTTGGTTTGGAATGATCTCTACAATATCAAAATTCTCCTTTTAATTTTTTTTTTTTCTTTTAAAATTTTAAGGGGAATTTTTATATCATATGATTGATTGTATGAAAACTTTGAGTTGAAATTGCATGATGTGAAGCTTTTTGAACATTGATGTGTCCTTGGGAGTATTAATATTGATTGTTAGTGATACTCTGTTTGTTGATTCGAGCACGATGTCCGACATTATTAATATTGCTGTATAGGGATACTCTGTTTGTTTTGTTTTATGTTTGTATTCACTTGGTTTGGAATGATCTCTGTGATATCAAACTTCCCCTTTTAATTTTAAATTTTTTCTCTTCTTTTTTTTTTGAAACTTTGATTTGATTGCATGATGCATAGAAACTCATATCAAACACTAACCCCGAGTTTAATAATTGTCTCGAGGGACGCGTCGGAGGAAGGAACAAAGCGCAGGATGTTTGCCATTACAGCTCTTCTGGAAGTAAAGAAGCTGTTAGGTGGAATGAATGGGCCCATCGAGGAAGACGGCTCAGAGATAATAGTTATGAAAAGCACAGAGAAGAAGAATAGAGTAGACAAAGAAAGTTTTTTTACTTAAAAGATTTTGGGATTTTAAGTAATGTTTTTGTAAGCTTTGTGTTTCACTTTTATGTATTTTCACTATGTAAACATTAATAGTTTCACTTTTATGTATATTCACTATGTGTTTTATATAGTTATGTTAAGAAAAGTTTTCATTGACAACATATAAAAAATAGGAGTATTTACAAATTATTACTCTGTTTCATAACTAACTATAAAAGAAACAACAGTTTTTAAAAAATCATATCAATTTGATTCACTTAAACTGTACTCTTACCATTGATTTGATTCCTAGAGTTCCTTTCTTTCTGAATGAGATGATGAAACCTTTCATAGTTAACTTGGTGCTTGTGTAAGGTACAAATATGTTGAAGCTTTAAAAACGGCTCTTGAAGGTTCTCCTCCAAAGACTCGCGATGAGCGTTGCAAGGTCTCTCTCTCTCCATCACTCTCTCTAGTGTGTTTGTTTGTTTGTTCATGACCATTTAGCTTAAGCTTTGTGAGTAAGTGTTAATATCTCTGTTTGAAGATTCATGAGAAACTCAGAGAGAGAGAGCTAGTCTTGGTTGCATTCTCCATTGTCTTTCTGATACTATCAACATCGTTTGAACTTTGGACCAACTTGCGAATACCAATTCGCCACGCCAGTTTGCTCCATGAGCCAAATATACCACCAACTTGTTAAAATCTATTTTCATCATCAACCAATAATGGAGAGAGATTTCAAAAAAGAAACCAACTAACTAACACAAGAACATTTTATTTTGGTTATGCGAAAATGCGCAGCATGACCTCCTCTAAACTTCGTGCTTGCACAAGAATCAAGCATTATCATCCAAACTAATATTAAAAATGTAGTCCTATAACATTAATAGAAAAGAATTAATAAGGATGCAGCTTTTTCAAAAAATAACCAATAACATCAAGATTTTGTTAATCATAACTATAAACTAACAAATGGATTAGAACTGATGTATCTTACATAACGCAAAAGTTCTTTGTAAACAGTTGGTGGAGAACCCAAAACAATTTCTTATTCTTTTCACAAAGACTGTTTAAAAAGAAAGTCACACAAATTAAGAAAAAAATTTGATATGTATTTATGTTCTTAATAATTATATTAGTTTAGCCAATAACATTCGAGATGAATAAAATTATTTATAATATCAATAGATTTTATAATTAGTATTAAATTTAAAATATGTACAAATTGCATTAAAATTTTGAGAAATGGTTAGAACTACCAAAAGTTAAATATTATTTTCAAAAATATCACCAATAAAAAAAAGAATACTAATATTTGGATTTAGGTTTTAGTGATTATAGTTTAGGATTTAGTATTAAGGATTGGGGTTGAGTTTATAAATGTTTTATAAATATTTAGAAAAAATCAGCTTAGTGTTGTTTTATCACAAATTTAAGGTATTTATAAAAAAATAATTATTTATTAATTTTAAATTTTGAAAAATAGTATCAAATTTGTGATACAATTGAAAATTTCCAAAAAACAATTAAGTGATATATGTTTGTGTAAACAAGTAAGAAATCTATATTATAATGATACACTTCAAGGCTCCTAAAGCTGTCCACGTCAGCAAGTTTGTGGATCCCACACGTTTAAGTTTTAAAAGCTTAGAGTTTGTTTAAAATGAATATGAACAATGAATATACTTTAGCCCAGTGGTATAAGACATCTAATGAAGTCCACAAGTGTATGAGTTCAAACCGCGTAGTTGTTATGTATTTTAGTTTTTTTTGTTTGAATTATTATCATATGGTTTTTTAGTTTTAATGTTTTAATGTTTTTTTTCCTCTGGACTTATTGTTTAAACGAAAAATAGTGAGAAAAATTCTAAAGTTTGACGAATTCAAACCCAAAAACAATTAAAAAATGATCAAAAAACGAACAGTCCAAAAAACAAAAAACAAAATGAGTATCACGTGGCACTATCATGTCCTAATATATATTTTCTGGTAGAACATATTTTCAAAAAATTATGTATGTGAAATAAAATAAAACAACAAAATTTAAGTATTTTTTATTTATAAAATAACTATGTAATATCTCTCAATTTTTTAGTAGTTACTATAATTTCATTTTTATCAGACTCCGGCGAATGGATTTCCACACTCGATGATGCCGTAAATAAAAATGCCACATTAGCTTAAACTAAAGTTAGCTTAAACTATTTCATGAACAAAATCCAGACTTACAAAAAAACATATCCAAACCTATCTACTGAATCCAAACAACAAATATTAGCTTAAACTAAAGTTATTTTCAAATCTATATTATAATGATACACTTTCAAGGCTCCTAAAGCTGTCTACGTCAGTAAATTTGTTGGTCCCACACATTTAAATTTTAAAAGCTTAGAGTTTGTTTAAAATGAATATGAACAATGAATATACTTTAGCCCAGTGGTATAAGACATCTAATGAAGTCCACAAGTGTGTGGGTTTAAACTGCATAGGTGTTATGTATTTTAGTTTTTTTTGTTTGAATTAATATCATATAGTTTTTTAGTTTTAATTTAATGTTTTTTTTTTCCTCTGGACTTATTGTTTAAAACAAAAAATAGTGAGAAAAATCCTAAAGTTTGACGAATTCAAACCAAAAAACAATTAAAAAAGGATCAAAAAACGAACAGTCCAAAAAACAAAAAACAAAATGAGTCCAACGTGGCACTGTCATGTCCTAATATATATTTTCTGTTAGAACATATTTTCTAATATATATTTTCAAAAAATTATGTATGTGAAATAAAATAAAACAACAAAATTTAAGTATTTTTTATTTATAAAATAACTATGTAATTTCTCTCAATTTTTAATAGTTACTATAATTTCATTTTTATCAGACTCCGGTGAATGGATTTCCACACTCGATGACGCCGTAAATAAAAATGCCACATTATTCATGAACAAAATCCAAACTTACAAAAAAACATATCCAAACCTATCTACTGAATCCAAACAACAAATATTAGCTTAAACTAAAGTTATTTTCAAATTGATAAATTGTTTAGTACAAATATAAATACTATAAATAAATAATTATATCAAGTTTTGACCTCCGATATAAAAACTATTTCCAACATAAAAAAATAAAAAAAAATATAGACACTTATTATTATACATTAGAAACTATATTATAATTTAGTTATTCCTATAAATCTTACTTCGCATATAAATAACATTTAACACATTATATATACAATATTTTCACTTTACACTCTTGCTACATTTTTTCCATTTCATCCCTAAAAATAAAACGAATCTCACGCGGCACTATCATGTCCTAATATATATTTATGTTAGAACATATTTTCTAATATATATTTTCAAAAAAATATGTATGTGAAATAAAATAAAACAACAAAATTAAGTATTTTTTGTTATCTATAAAATAACTATATAATTTCTCTTCAGTTTTTAATAGTTACTATAATTTCATTTTTATCAGACTCCGGC